TAATGGAGCACCTGAGACTGTGGTGCGGAAAAATTAAAATTTCAGGTTGAAGAAAAAGACAGCAGAGAATAACGTCACAATGATTTGGGACATTACTTTTTGTCTTTACCTTTGCCTTGAAAGTTCTTTTTTCGGACGACAGTGTCACGTGTCACATTATGATTAATTATCACCAGGTCGCTTGGGCACTTACTGTTTGTTTCAATAAGGAGAGGACACTCCACTATGAGAGGAAGCTACGGGACTGAGGCCATGTTCACTCCTAGTGCATTTAACCCCCATCGGTGCAACAATCCAGTGCAAGCGGCGCCAAATTCAGAAGACGGACTTCTGAATTTGGCTACATTCCAGAAATTAACTACTCTGTGGCCACTTGGCTTTATCATATAGTATTCGCCGTTGTTTTTGAAAATAGGTCATGTCCTCCTGATTATCCCTGGGCGATTCATATTAGTTAACAAAATCACTGTTTAGCGGAATGAAAGGGCATCATTAAAGATTATTTTAAAATACTTGTAATTTACTTTGAAAGTACATTGTATTTATAGTAATTTACTTCAAGTACATTGCACCTAGTGTACTTACTACTTTACTTGAAGTACATTATTTCTCATTAACTTTGTACTTTAGTTGAAGTACTTTATAACTGTACTTAATTCAACACTGGTGAAAAGTAAGTTGTTCGTTTCGTTTAAACTATTTTGGAAACAATGTGATGCGTTTCTTACTATATACAAAATATTTTACACAACAGTATTTATGGCTGGACATCAATAGACCTTCATTTGAACAACGAATATCCAGAATTAGGTTATAATTTTCAAATCTGCAATAAAAAACGCCCTCAATAAGCAAGGGCACGGAGAAGACGACGTATGGAATAAGTCTGTTGGATATGCTCCGACTTCTGCTGTATGAAAGGTTAAGCGCAAACCACCTGGTTTGCTCTAACCAGCGCAAAAAAGAGAGTTGACCCTCGCATGTTGAAGTTTAGGCTGGTGTTCAAGCATTTCAGATTTTTGCTGTCATCATACAAGATAACAACTGCCTTTCTGGCCGTAAGCCGTTCTTTGCCAACGCGGCCCTGACCGTTTGAAGGACACGTATGTGGGTCAGTACTGCCATTACGCCAGCCGGCTCTGAAACGAGATGCCAGGAGATATCATGATGCCAAAATATCACATCTCAGAGACTACATCAGTATGTCCCTCTGCGTGCGAGCGTCATAATCAATGGTGTCATTCCCTGCTGAAATCTCAAGGAGCTCGTCTGACACGAGATATCTCTGAAAGCGTGTAGTGTAGCGTGGTCTAGTCTTGAAAAGAGGAGAAAGGCGATAGCACATGACCGAATTCACTAGGTCACCAAAACGCTGGTGTCGTGCGTCTCTGACTGCCTTTCACGCGCTTTCCAAGGCAATACAGTTACAAGGAAGCTTGCGTATCAAGAACCACTTTTATTACAAATGAAACGCTCTACTTTCTGAGAAAAAACATCAAAAGAGGAGTTCGCGAATGAGTTATGGTTTCTACATGGCATTTAATTGAGCTGATAATGTACAAGCATCTTCCTTTGGTGATCTCCATAGGTGCTTTTATTAGCTTGTAGGAAATGGACAATTTGGGGGAAACGCGTTTTCTTGGATATATGCTTTCGTTCTTAAACTGTGCAATAAAATATTCTTTATGTACTAAAGTTAGCATAAAACGTTTCTAGTGTTATAAAATAAAAAATGATGTCCATAGTTTCAGAAGACTACACCCAGGAGGACAAAAAAATTCACATATTTTGGCGTGACTAAAGAGGATATCTTTCCTATGTTTTTTTATGCGGTGCAGCGCAGCACAGGCCACGATGCTGTACAGTGGAGTTTTATCTATGTACTGCCAGAAAATAATATAGGACTACTTCTTCCTGTGTGTATCCGTCTATCGTGGAGAGGCCAGTAAACGAAGGTCCCTCATTTGACTGATATTTTAACTTATTTTTCATATGTGCATCATAAATGGATGTGATCAAATAGAATCTGTCTTTTCCGGAAACCGGTGTTTGTCTTTATGGATTCGAGGGATTTGGTGGTCACCGTGTACTCAATGAAAATATAGAATAGGAGCGCCACTATCATTAGAGTATTCGAACGATCAGATCTGAACCATAGACATCCTTCTATGGAGTCATGCAAAGCAAAGTTGTATATTTCTGCGATGCACTGTTAGTTTGTTCCGTGCAAAGTAACTCGACTTCCTTTTGTCAAAGCTTCGGCTTTACTTTTAAGAAAGTTACCTAGAATGAAACTATAATCCAAATCTTACGCACCGATTTTGCATTGCTGGTTTCCCCCGGCCGAAACACATTACGGGGCAAACACATTTGGGTTTAATTTATAGTGTTAGCGTCTGTATTGTCAATTAAGCTAGAAAAAAAAAGATAGAAGTGATACTGAAAGAAAAGTTTATATAATCTTATAGAAATATAGAATATTGGAAGCGATAATAATACTTGAAACGGGGATCCGTTTCAAGTATTATTATCGCTTCCGAGAAAGACAAACTGCGACAAGTGTTTACGGTACACCAGATCGCTTCCGGAAACACGCGTGGATTGCACATTGTAAATGTTGATTTGCAACTAACCGTAGATTCGTGAAGTGCCGCTAAATAAAGAGTGCTAATACACCGTTGCAGTTCACACTGTACCAGCCAATCCCTTCAATACTCTTAAGTCAAATTCCACCCGATTGTTCATGCAGTTTTCGAATTTAAATTTTGAGGAATTACATAATTATTGTAATGCGTGGGTGTTCATTGTCATGTCTAGGTCACCTCACTTCACGTATGAACATCCAAAATCTTTCCCGCTCCGTACAGGTCCTCCCTTTGATATTGCACACGCGTTTATCCTTCTACTAGAACCGCAACCTTTGTGGCTCATGTTTCTACTTGAGAACAAAGATCACAGGCAAAATGTTCAGTTGGGCTAGTTGGTTCATCACTGTATAGAAGCGCCGAAGAACAGGGATAGAGTGAAGGAGGTAGCGACAACACGGAGCGTTCCGGGCTGTCCTTACATCCTTCACTTCTCTCTTTTTTTTCTAACTCCATTAACAATACAGACCCTGTCCTTCGGTGCTTCTATCCAATCACAGACACGGCAGTTGGACACCTTGGTACATTATGAATATATCAGTAATGTGTATTGCGAACGACACGCTTATAGTATGTATCAAAGTGTGTAAGAAGCATCTGCCAATGATTTAAATACTTGGCATCAATATCGTTTTAATACAAGATACATTTTGGCCCTGGAGCATATCATGACCTTTGTGAACGCGCTCAGTATCCCGCTAAGAGAACAGGTGACGTCGTTGTGTCTATAGCGCTATAGCATTTGCACAAAGAGTCATAGTGCTTCACAGTTTCAGTTCAAAAATAAACGAGGAGCTGTATGAAAACGTATTGCCACCACTCAACCCCTTTTTAATATATATATATATATATATATATATATATATATATATATATATATATATATATATATATATATATATAAGTAAACAATACGTGCTGTCGGAGTTACTAATTCGATGTTTATTACGACGTTTTGAGCGGGAACCGCTCTTCGTCAGGTTACGTTGCAGGGGCTACTGGCGTCGGTTGCCTCTGCCACCTTACTCAATCAAAACAAAATTACCCTTTTTATTGCTGTCACGTACGCAAAATAAAAAAAAGATATATTTTTCGTTTTTGAATAAATCTTGAACATTCAAGGCACAAATAATCTCTCCGATATAAGTGGCATGCAGTTTGCCGGTCCTTGTATCATTTAAGTCCAGTCTTTCTTAAACTTACACCATCTCTAAAACAAATATAAAACCACTTGAGATATTTACCTCTATCAAGACAAAGTAGATACAGTTCTTTATTCATTTAGCAGGACGCATACCCTTATGTGAGAAATGTTCGTAACCTGAACAGTCCATCGACAAAATGGTACTAGTGCCATGGTCGACGTGTCGAACTTAATACAAAATAGACAAGAACTGGAACTGACATTTGGATGGCGGAATAATTACATTCATATAATTAAATGCCTTCATTTTCCAGAACTTTGTGACAACCCTAGCCTGGATAAGGCACTATAATATTCGGAGTACATTCTCGGTATCATATTTTAGCCGTGTCAAGTGCGTATCTGTTGGAGGTTCAGAAAATTGTAGTCTACGCACAACCGCACAATCATATTCTCGTTGCTAAGTGATCACTAAGGACTCAGAAAATACGAATGAGAAAATTAGCATACAATGTAAATTTTCAAATAGATTGCACACTTTACAATTTTGTAGAGGTTATAAATTTTTTGACGATGAGTTACAGTGCGTAAAAAAACTCAGTGATATATAAAGTGGCTAATTTGATTTAAGGATAATAGGCAGGAATGCAGAACACATTACACAAATGACAACTAATTATTGACTAACGGATTTAGCGAGGTGTTTACTGATATGTTACAACCACTTCCACTCTTGAATCCTTACTTCGAGTTACCTTCTATACATGATTCTACTAAAATCGTTGAAATCGCTGGTGAATCCTACCCAATAGAATGATGTAAAAACCCTTAACTAGCTTGACTTTCACTCAATAGCAATTCAGTGTGTGAGGAACTTCCTTTTTCTCAATAAGTTTATTCTCTTTTTATAGTATTTGTAGTCTGCCCATTGCTACACGCTTAGGAATAACTCTATAATCTTCTGGAAGCAAAGTCCGCACAAGGCTCGTACTCAAGATCGTCCAGAAATATTCAACAGTGCTTCAGACTAGGGCTGCTTTTAGTACCATACAAATCACACAAGCTTCCACAAAAGCACGCCGACACGTGACATTCCAAACCGCTCCGATCCACCACGTGCGTTTTCTCCGCAACGTGTAGATATCGTCCCTTGCACGAATCTAGCGACAAAACAGACCACCCTGGAGCAAGTAAAGAAAAAAGTCACTCACGGCGTGGCGGCGAAGCTGGGGCGTGAAGCGCCGGGGACGACGACAAAAAAACCAAGCACTCTTCCTTTCCTTCTTCCAGGGAGCAGCCAGACACACACAGAAGGGCACCAAGTCTCCGAGCTCGACTGATCCGGCGGCCTCACACCGACCGACTGTAATAACAAGCCGAGCCGGATGCGAGAGAGCCGGACGTCTCGTCACATGACGCAGTGCCAGCCAATCGCGTCGCGCCGATCGACCCGTGACGTCACGTTTGCGCGTTGGATGGGAGGTTTCGTTCGGAGGAACACGTCAGGGACCGCTGTTGGAAGTGTCCTAGGCGTGGTGTTGGGAAAGAAAAACAAGAGCGACGGGAACGTGGGGGGCTCGAGGTACTGGCTGGCTCGATAATAAAACAAAGAATCAAATAAATAGGAAGGTAAAAGGAAAGTCCGACCAAGTTTACGGGTTATTTCGTTTGGGGACCCTTGTTTGAACTCGGCATGTAGTTTTAAGTCGATTTTTGTTATGCGTTCTTTGTTGTTGTTTTTTGTTTTTTTTAGCGTTCTTCGAGTGTATCTGTTTATGTTTTTTGTAAGTGCGATGCGAACTTGGAGGGGTATGCCGACTCGGTGGGAAAACTCGATGTGGTTTTCTGGGCGCCGTGGAAATTGCCGGGTGGAAACTAGATTCCAAGGAATTTCGCTACTGCCAGAACTCGCGCAGTTTTTTCGGTTGTGTTCGCTGTTACCTGTTTTTTTTTCTCGGTTGCATTTCGAAAGGCTACCGTAAGGCTTTGCTATTTTTAGTGCAGCAGCTTTTTTTGTGTGTGTGTGTTTGGAACTTCTTTCGGTGAATGGTAGCTTTATGGCAGTGCAGGTTTACTCCTTGTAAATGAGAACTTGCATGTGCTACTCCTTCTCTTATGTCGATGGTTGCAGGTACTGAGATATATCTCCCTGTTTTCTAACGTGGCATACTCGGAAAAACATTTTGTTTTTGTGATGGTTGGAACATTTTTTTCGTTGCTTGCCAGACCTCTTGCTCTTCCCATATTTATGAACGTTGCATCCATTTCTGGGTTGGCGAATATGAACAGAGTTTCATTTCCGTAAATAATAAATCTCACGGCGCCTCTCAGATGCAATAGTTTTACTTGAAATACTCTGTTGCATATCTACTTCACGTTGGTAACCCGGCTTTTATTATAACATTTCCGTTTTATTGATATTTTGTTTTTGTTATAAGCGAGTGTATCTTCAAAACGAGATTCGTTTGTAGACCCAGGCTTGATTGGACACGAGCCGGCAGATCTTCCATTTTGTTGTTGCTTATATTATGTCCACAACCTCCACCTTACTAAAAGAAGTAGTTGTTTATTCTAGGTCGGTGACGGATGCTTACGTTCTTGTTGAACATTGGTCTAGAGAGGCGGGTAAGGGACATGGTGAAATTTATTTATTCAATAAACCTTTTTTCAAGTGAAAGAAAAATCGGTAATGATGTAGCCGCATTGCAACAACTATATTCGGCACCTCTAATAATAGCCTCTCTTGCATTATTTTTTAAAAAAGGTCCCTAAATTTTAAAAGAATCTTTATTCTAGTGCGGGAAACCGTTCGGAATATTAGAAACAGGATGGGCGTGAAATATGTTTAGGTGTGTTTTGTATTTGTTACGAGAACATTTTTGTCTTTGCAAGAAAGGAGATTGCCCTTGCTCGACTTGTCATGGTGCAACGATAGATTCTAAAGGATTAAATTTGATTTCAATCTAGTAAGGAATTTTTACCGACAGAGCGTTCCGTCGTTAGAATTTATTTATGATTGCATACGGTGATTTACAGTGAAGTTCAATCTAAGAAAAAATAAGCCCACAGATAACTCGAGGAAATTCACCAAACTATAGTGAAGTATAAGTTGCGTTGTATAATAAGACAACTGGTCACTTACGTGTTTTTGTCTTTGTCTTCCTGGCATATGGTGAATTTAAACTAAGTTTACTATTCTCAGTTTTCCCCACATTAGGATCTACCCCTCTAAGTTCACACATTTTTTTTACCAAACCTTTTTCCCTGATAGGCTTCATAAAGCCACGAAAAGGCGAATTGATGGATTTTGCTTCCGACATCAGAACAAAGATCAGCATTCAATTTTTACTATTAGATGATTAACCGCACTGTTACCTTATTATCAAAGTGCATAAACTCATTGGGCACGTTCATGTTTCGCTGATAATACCGTATAATTAGCATGGCTTCGAAATGATCGTGGCCCTAGTTGCTTGCGATGTCTTCAGGTCGTTTGGATATATATTGGAAAATATATTGGAAAAAAGAAAAAAAACATATGGCTGGATATTTCGCTGGGGTTGAACATCGCAACAGAAAGAGGTGAAACATTGCAGAATTGCATTAAGTTACTGTAGCCTACACGGCGATCTCGTAATGGTTAGGAACACTACAAATGACCTGGTTGTCTTCTTTAATTAGAAATTGGGTATTACCAAGGAAATACAAAATGAAATTAGGGGGACATCCCAAGGTGTTCATGATGTTGGTTCCTTAATTTTGATGTTGCCTTTTTGTGTGCTTGCGATCGTGTCTCGAGCTAGTATATCTGACCAAAATATAGAATATGCTTCGGTAGACTGTCCGTACGTCATGCAATCCCTTGCAATTGTTTAAACTTCAAAGTTGCACTTCTTCGAAGCTCAGCCCACGTGTTATTTGCGACAGTGATTTGAATGATTGGCCAATCTACAATTTTGGTTTTTCAGAATGCTTTCCTGAGTTTTATAATGTACGTCAATAACCTATACACGTAACACTGAATGCCGAGGTTAATAAATTAATAACGCGATAATTGCTATGAAGGTGGGAGGCAACATGGGCAACTTGCAAATAAAGACCACTCACTTTTATCTAAAGATGAATTCTGGCGTCTGACATTGAGCACGGTTTGACCATTCATGAAGTCAGGCTCAAAAGTAGACATCACTAAGATGCCAGAATGTTCTCCGTTGCCTTTCGTTAATCTCATTTTCTAGACTGAAGTTTGGTATAGATATATAAGCTTTTCATCTGAGGAGTTGATTGGTGTCTATATTTAAGAATCACTTTTTTTGTGGAAAGTCCTTGGCTTGTTCAATACATGTATGTGTGATACAACTGGATACAAGGTCAGTCATGAAAAACAAATTGGCAAGGAGTGCGTTTCTTCTTAGACGCATGTAGTCAACATCTCTAAGGGCCGGTTGCACCAACGCCGCTTAGCGCTAAGCGGAGCTTAGCCGGGAACTTAAGCTAAGTTTCGGTTTCGTTCGGTTGCACCAAACTCGCTTATCGCTAAACCTAGCACTAAACTACGCTTAACTTAAGCGCTCAACATTGGGCGCTTTGCTTTTGGTTGTTTCTTAATCCTGGATTAAAAACATGGCGGCTGGTTTGTCGCGGTCGACGCGGTGGACGAAATTGGTTGTGCAAAGTGTTTTAGGCTACATCAGCGTGAAAGTCTCGACAAAATGACCTTCGATTGTGACAAGGATGCAAAATATTGTCGCGTGAAGTGTTTATCGACCCCTGTTTTCAAGTTGGCTCTCCACTCTCAGGGCGTGTTAGCCCTAACCGAGATACGTACGGAGTTGTGTGTCTGTGGGGCTCACGGGGCTCACGTCTGTCTTCCCGTTGGTTCTTCTGTCAACGAGCTTATTCGTATGTACTTACTAATTTTCGCATAACCGTAACGTATTGTTATTTACCACCTTGTTTATTTACACTTGCAGCGCGTATCCTTCAATTTGATCAGCGCGTTGAAACATGACCTCGGCGATCAGCTGATTGTCGACACCTCTGCCGTTCGCATTAGATTCCGGCGCTTTTAAGTAATAAAACAACGAAAATTCAATTTCTTTCGTTTTCTGAGTTTTGAGGCAATCTTCAGTGAATTTTCCTAACCTCGCGAGTAGAATCTTGGCTTCAGAAAACTGTATCGTTCCATAACCATAACTTTTTTGGTGATCGCGATTTTTTAGGAATATTTTGCTTTATATCTTTCATTCGTTGCGACGACAAATCGTAACGACTACTATGCTAGATTCGTTCATTGCTGTATCGGGGCAGGCTGGGGCAGGCGATGCGAAGAGACGACTGTTCTTATCGGCATGATGTGATGTACTAGTGGCAGTTTTTTTTTTTTTTCTGAACTCGACAGTGTGAAACTGAAGTCCGTTTGAGGCTACAGCGGATGTTCAACGACGGTACAGTGCAGTTCTGTCACCTTGCTGATAGCAACGAGTACCGTCGATGCAAGGTCTCGTGACCTGACCTCTCGACGACTTCTATTCGACGATTTCCGGGCATTTTCGCAGCTGCCGTGGCGAGTTCGTCACTGTTTGGAACTTCATCGGTCTCAGGTTTGACTTGATTTTAGTAGTCATCTTACCTGCCTACTTATATACATGATGTTTTGTCTTCAGCGATGTAGCGAGTAGAGTGTCCTTCTCGCGTTCGGTGAGATTTGGGGCCCCCGATGGCTCCTTCGCTTCAAAATGTGAGCACGAAAACTACTACCACTGTCAAAATAACCTGTTATCAACCGATATTAAACACACAATCACAGATGTAAAGAGCATTCGTGTTTATTTGAAGCTTTGACTTCTCTTATTGAAAGTTAAACGAAAAAATGATTGAATTTGGTGACCTTTAATTTGTTACTCACCGAAGAAATACAGCGAAAAGCAGACGCCGACGACGACTACTACGGCAGTTTTTTGTTTTTTCTTTTTTTGTTTACATCACGTGATTCCTCTCCACCAATCGTATTCGTCCCTCTGAGCGTTCCCTAGTTCGCTCTGTTTGTCCCTAGATTCCCTACGCAAATCCAGCGTTTAGCTAGGGGCGCGTCTGTAAAGCCGGCTTAACGTTGGTGCAACCGGAATTTAAACCCGTGCTTACCTAAGCTCGGTTTAGGGCGCTAAGCCGGCTTAGGAAAGCGCCGCTTTAGGTTAAGATAAGCGGCGTTGGTGCAACCGGCCCTAAGTGTGTCAAGCCCGTTTAAAAGTAACTGACACTAAGGGTTGGGGATTTAACAACATATCTCCGAAAAATTTATTTTTGAGGAATTGATAGCAGTCTTAGGTGTATGTCGAGAAATGTGATTAATTTACCGGTT